TACGAACGCTTAACCTCTAAACCATTGAGTTGGCCAGCATTCAACGATATTAATGTCTAATTTCAACTAATCCACGAAATTGCACCACCGTCCACCATTGTCTTCAGTAAGTTAGTGTTTCACAACAGACACGGTTGAACTCTAATGGTCACGGCTTCTCAATAGAACTCCAGGAAATACCTCTTGGAGTCAGTCAATAGTGAGCATATGTTAATTAATATCAGAAAGGGTTTTTTGTGCATATTATAGTAATTTTTAGTAGTTTCGATCATGAGTCGATTACAGCTAGAGTAGCACGGAAATCCTGGAAACACTGAATGGCTTCAATTAACTCATGATCTCAACTATCAAAATCATTATAATATCTACAAAACTCCTTCTCATAAGTCATTTTTTCATTAATTTTTCAAACATTCCGATTAGTCCCTATTCAATCTATACAATATAATAGTATATCATCATAGTTTCATTCCTCTTCATCTCTGATCAACTGATTTCTTCATTCATTTATAAATATTATAGGATTATGATGATGAATATTAATACAATATGTATATAACCATATAAGAAATGATTATATAACAACATTGATATCAATATAGATAATCATTAATATTCACCTCGTATTGTTTACTTAAATCTTCCTATTATTGTTTAGGACTGCAATTGATCAGTCTGTTATTGGCATATGTACATACTCTGCAGATTACCTCGATATTGCCTTTATTTGCACAAACATTCTAGACAAAGATGAATAGTGGTTAGCAGTTCAATGCAAGATGTCCATTTCATAATATTTTTTGGATTGTTTAGCTGACTATACATGCATCCCAGATTGAATGTTCATTCCAAGACTCGAACTCAGGACTGTTCACTTCAAACCTGATCGCATTATCCCAGAATGAACATCAACTCCAAGATACAGATACATTCAACTGATGAGTTTCAAATAGGACGAAACATGAATGAGACTGGATTCCACTTCTAGTCACCATCTATCTTTGTTTAAAAAGTCATTATTATCATTATTATTATTATTATTATTATTATTATTATTATTACTGAATTATTTATTGACGATAATATGAATTCATAATGACAAGTAACAAAGTGATTGTAATTCACATTAGGATAATACTTGAATAATAAAGATAGAAACAACAACAACAACAACAACAACAAAAACCAAAAAGAAAAAAAAGAAAAACATCCATTGTATTTGTATATGTTTACATGTGAGTCAAAAAACTTGTCAAATGTCTAATATTTAATAAATTAAATAATAATAATAATAAGTGTTATTTTTTGTCAGTTCAACACTTCAATGAACATTGAAATGATTACAAAATAAAATAAAATAAAACCAAAAAAAAGAAAAAAAGAAAAAAGAGAGAAAAGAAAAAAGAGAAAGAAAAGAAGAAAGAGAAAAAAGAAAGAAAAGAAATGAATTCAACAAAAAAGAGATAAATGTAGATGATATGCCAACAATTTTTTTTTCTAAGCAAAAAAAGGAGAATAAAAAAGAAGACAAATAGGAATGGATGGATGAATGAATGAAAACGACAGGGTTCTGTTGTTTTCATTTTTTTTTTTAATGTTGAGCAAATATGAGGTTGGTTGTTTTATTGTCAAAAAAGAAAATAAACTTACCACGCTTGAAATGAAAAATAAAATAGAAAGAAATTTCTCCACAATAACAACAAAAAAAAAGTAATAATAATGATTATTATTGTTATTTTAAGCCAACAATAAAACAGGGAAAACATTATTATTATTATGGTTACTATTTGTAAGATTATTAACAATAATTATTAACTAGTACTATTAATGATACTGATGTAAATACTACTAGTATTGGTGGTGGTGTTGATGGTGGTAGTAGTAGTAGTAGTAGTAGTAGTAGTAGTAGTAGTAGTAGTAGTAGTAGTAGTAGTAGTAGTAGTAGTAGTAGTAGTAGTAGTAGTAGTAGTAGTAGTAGTAGTAGTAGTAGTAGTAGTAGTAGTAGCGCAGTGAACAGAACAGGATTGGGGTCAATCGAATGTGTGTGATACAACATTACAGAACTTGGTAATAAAATCTAACAATCCAATGGTAAATACGTAATTTGCAAAATGTCCATTAACTGTCTCTTCATGATTTAGACTTCATTGTTCTTGCATTTTCATACAAATTGCATTCTTTTTCCATTCTTTACTGTTCGATCCTCTTGTTTCTTTGCTGCCAGATCTTCTGTTCACGACTAACATCATCTATTACTCATTTCAATATAACTAGCACACACCATAGTAGCAGTGGTAGTAGTGTATTATATTCACATCAACTAGCTAGACTGTTTATTGATATCACCTAGTGTTTCACGTGTTCATCAACTGGAACAAGAGAAGTCAACCTTTCCTTTCTTGTCTTTAGGTTCTTCATATATATATATTGAGCAGAATATGAATTGTGAAATAAACAGACAGACAAGCTCACATAAATAAACATCGAATGATTCACATCATGTTGCGATAGTGGTGGTAGGGGTGGTTGTTGTTGTTGTTGTTGTTGGTTGATCGATTACAGGTTTCAAAATGAAATATTTTTTATTTTCTTCATCTGCGATGGTATGTCACAAAAAAAACGTTTTTTATTGTTGATAAATTACTTCCTTTTTTCAATGATTAGAAATGTTGCTTATTTCTTCTAACCTCTTACTTTACATCAACCATAATTTTATTTATTTATTCATTTACTTGAACATATAAACATTGATACATGGAGACATCCAATATATATGCGCCACTTCCGGTGCTCAAACTAAAAAAGGTGATTTTCTTATGGGGCCCCCAACCTATAAGTCTGATCCACAAGGAAGCGGAGCAACATGGTAGCCAATGATCAACGACTAGTTCATACGCCATTTGTTCCCTTAGGATCCTGAGGTCCATGTGTACCATTGGTTTGGAATGAGGGATTTCCAACTCGCCTATTTGTACCCTCCATATCCACCAACCCGGATGGGCTTTTGCCTTTCGTCCTCTCAGTTTTGTAAACAACAGTAATGTCGTGGAAAGGTAGTGAGTATGCACGTGGTCATGTGAAGGCATTTGGAAATGAAGAGTTAACTCTCCCCACTTTCAACCGTACCAGGGTATTTATGAATATTTTAGCTTCAATATAATTGATTATATGAGTGAGAATTTCTAGATGAAAAGATTAACGATTTCTAATTAATAAACATGGAAATTATGCAAGTTCAGTAAATGATGATGATTAGAAATTGCCAAATGAAGACTTCAACATGAAATGATTGTTGATGTTATATGATCAACGGTTTTCATAATATAATTAATACTAATTGTATCCAAAGTAGTAAAAACTATTGTACTGTATGCTACTTATATCTGTCGACAGACACAAGTAGTATGTAACATCAATCAGAAGTGGAAACCTTGATAGCAGAAGGCTATGAAGGTCAACTTGAAGAAAACAGAAATGGAATTAGAAAAGAATTATGAACTGGAAGAATTGTACAGTATGTGAAAGAAAAATGATAAAAAATTGCAAATGAAGTATTCAATGTATGGTTCTCATGATTACCAAGAAATCAACAGTCCTAGGTTCGAGTCCCACATACTGGATTACAGATGCACACTGCTTAGGTGTCCCATACCAGGAAGAAATGACCTTCCAATGCTTACAGGTTTTCTATAGTGTTCTAGCTTACATTGACTCATGCATTCACCTATTAAATACATTCAATTGTCCCTACCTGTGATCTTATTCATATCATGTTTAACTAGTCCATAGTGCTGTTTTATTTTCTCGGTTAAAGTTACATAACACCTACAGTTGAAAGTGAGTCGATATTGTATTTCATATTGTATGTTGTTTGATGGTTGAAGTCAATTAACAGTTTATTATGATAATGGATTTCTTATTAGTTCATACTCAACCGTTGGTAATATCTCTATTTACAATGTAATTCATAACTAATTGTTTAATTCTTAGTTCGAATAATGAATTTAATCGTTTTTTGAAACTAACTAGTACATTTTAATCTAACCACTTTACACTACACATACTACTTAAATGTATTTAAGTATAAGTACAGTTTACACATACTAATTTTGTTCGTATTTTCAGTTAATTTGAATTCCTGAATGTATAAGTATGAAAGATTGTTTATGATGTTGTAGTGTGATGTGTACTACTGATATCGATAGATGTTAGTAGTATGGATCATTAATCAAAAATTAAATGCCTAGTAGCAGAAGAATAAGAAGATTAGAGAAAGGAGAACGAGAGCAAAGAATGATTGGTGTGAAAACGAAAGAACAATCAAGTCTGAGACGATTGATTGACACTTTACAAATGAAGAATTTACTGTATGATTCTCAGATTATACTAAGACATTCTGTAATGTTGTGTTCAAATACCTTTGATTGTCCCCACTTGTTTGTTTTCCTTTACTACAAGATTAACAATTGTATCATTCACAAATGTGAATTAACCGTCTCAAGGTACGAGCGAACCAGTCTTATTGTTACTGCTCGTTTGATTCATTCTCTAAATGAAAGATTACAGTTGACTAGTTATAATTCTAAAATATGATTCTGAATAGTAGAGATTTGAGCAGTAACAACATAGTACGATTTGATTAGCCCTCAAAGAGAAATAATGAATAGGTTACTAAGTTTAGTTTCTGAATGAATATTGATGAACAGCAGTGAGTGATGTCGATAGATATAAGTAGTATGTGTCATTGATTGAAAGTGAAATACGAGATTTAAGAATGAATGCTGTGGAACAATGAAGTCTAAGATGATTGAGTGACATCTTACAAATGAAGTATTTACTATATGATTCTCAAATATTACTAAGTTGTTCTTTAAGTTTGGTGTTGAAATACATTCGATTGTCTTCAATTTTCTTCTCGTTTACTACAAATAGAATTTAAACAAAATTTATGAAATGAAGTTAGAAGTTTGACAGTAACCTGCTTCATTATAAACTTTACATTAAAATGAACTTCTCATTAGAATGTTTTTTAGAAGAAAAATAATAAATAAGAAGTAATTCATTTGTATATCATTATCATCTTCATCATGCAATTCATCATCATTATCATCCGAATCATCATCATGATCATCATCATCATTACCATAATCTAAATCACCATCAACATCAACTAAATCATCATTCAAACCGTCATCATCACCTAAATCATCATCCAACTGGACATCATCATCATCTAAATCGTCCAAATCATCCGATTCGTCATCATCATCATCATCTAAATCATTCAAATCGTCATCATCATCAACATAATCTAAGTCATCATCCAAGCCGTCGTGATCACGTAAATCCAACTCGACATCATCATCTAAGTCATCATCATCATCATCATCATCATCATCATCATCATCATCATCATCATCATCATCATCATCATCATCATCATCATCATCATCATCATCATCATCATCATCATCATCATCATCATCATCATCATCATCTCCATTACTCAATGCAACTTGAATTAATCATCAAATAAGATTTTATTTTGTTTTCTTTTACTCATCATTAAAATAATTAATGAAAACATAAAGAAAATGAAGAAAAAAAGAAAAGTAGATAAAAATAAATCGAAATAATAAAAAAAATTGGGAAATAAATTCAATCAATTTCAAGACTTATTTAACTAATTAATTCATTGATAAACAAAAATCAAATCAATCATTCATAAATAATCAGAAATTATTGATTGATTGATTAGTTGGTTGATTGATCGATTGATTATAAACATTATCATTATTATTATTATTATTATTATTATTATTATTATTATTATTATTATTATTATTCATGTCTAGGTTATACCAATCTTTTTATTCCATTGATAAACACCAAAATGACAAGTAAACAGGGAAGAATGAAAAGAATGAGGAGAAGAAGAAGAAGAAGTGAATGGTAAAAAACATCAACTTTGAATGATGAACCTATATGATAATAAAGTAAATGAAGACAATAAGTAATAACTACTAATGAATTAAGAAAGTAGTATAGCATTATGTACATAGATTTAGTCAATAATAATTATGCTATACTTGATGACAATATCGATTGTTAAGTGAGATAAATAAATATTGTTACCCTTGTTCCTACTCAATCTCTCTCTCACACACACTCACTTTCTCTTTGTTCGAGGCATTATTATAACATTAAACATAGTTTTACAAAGGAATATCTAAATAAAAACGAATATCGTTGTAAGTGGATAGGAGACACATTGAGGAAAGCACCCAATTGAGTCACAAGGCAAGCCCTCACCTGAAATCCCCGAGGCCAAAGAACACATTACAGCGAGAAATGGAGACAGATATGAGAAGAATGAACAGTAATTGAACAGAACTAGAAAGGAAGGCACAGGATAGAGTGGGTTAGAGAATGCTGGTCGGTGACCTATGCTCCATTGGGAGTAACAGGCGTAAGTAAGTAAGTAATAAAATGTCTTACCCAATTATATTTGATATTTAGTGATTGAAAAGTACCATAGATTTCAATTTCAAGATGGAAAAACATTGATTTTTCTATATTGTTAACTAGCCTTATAATTAGAAGATTGAATAGTGACCAATATCATTTCTGTCTAGTTCACAATTCGAATTGAATTTTATGGGTCACTTTTTATAGGATGTCAGTTCAGGCTTAAATCGCCTAATGGTAACATCTCAGATGTTAGAACTTACTGAACCCCGTTTAAATATATTACAGGATATTGATTCTTCCAGATTCTAGATACTTCTTTATTATCACTGCTAACTAGCACGAAATGATCAATTATAGTTTCTTACCGAGTATCTTTTCTCTTTTGTATAGAAACTAAATCTTAATTAATTCATTTGTATTGGTTGTTTCAATCTTCCCATTGATGTATGGGACTGCAATTGATCAGTTTCTTATCAACATGTGTATCCTGTGAGGATAGCCTCAAGTCACAAACATTAAAAGCAAAGATTGATGATAGCTAGCAGTGTAATTCAAGGCGCGCGTTTCGCTCTGCTTGGGACTCATCAGTTGGATATTCACTCGGGAATGCATGTACATATAGATGACGAGTCCGAAAATGGGACGAAATATGTGTCCTGAATTCCATTGCAAGCCATCATCCATCTTTGCTTACAAGACTTAGTTAAATATATCAAAACAAATGATAGTCATGTTTTTGTAAAACGTTGATTAAATAGATAATAACAATGTAAGTTCCTGTATAAGTGTTAAGAAGTTCAATTCTTTAACTTCTAACGATCATATTTTGAACACAAATCTTTAACGAACTAGTTATACACTTGAATGTTTTAAAGTTCCATATATTCAAACTATGTCACTTGTCATCATCCTCCTTCAATGTATTCAACGGTTCATTATAATTGAAAATCGATACTGAGTTGTTGTTTTCTGATTGGATTTTTAATTTTATTAGATGGTTGAAGAAGCCAATAAGTAGAAATGTCTTGGTTTTAGAAGATCCTAAAAAACTTATATGGTTTATTTAAAATATACGTTATTGAGAAACGATAGAGATTCTCTTTATATGATCATTGTTTTCACAATATGCTCAGAATAAAAATGTAGTTCTTCCAAGGCTGAAATCAGAGTTGATAATTTAATGCTGAGATGTATACTACTTATGAGTAGTTTATTTCTTTCAGACATTTTATACAATATAATCAGTTTTTTGTAACTAGATATAGCTCAAATTCAATGTGGCGAGACTATAATTTATGGACAAATGAATCAGATTTAGGATAACAGGTTTTAGATTTTGGCTCGAAATTCATTCACCCATTTGGCTAAATAGCATCTGTTGTGGATGCGAAGGATAGACCGATAGTTATCATGTTAAGTCCAATGGTGTCCTTGGACTTTAAATGGATATTTCCTACTGGTCGATATCTGTCCACTTGTTGAATATTGTACAAAATGTTGTTTTCTATTTTTATGGTACAATGTGGTATGTTTGGTTAGTATATAAATAGGGTATGTCTGAAATACAATGATTCATAACTCAGAGGCTGAGGTTTGTGTTCTGGACTCAACTGGCTGGGATAGACAGGGAATCGGGACAAATCGTAACTCTAGGTCGTCCATTACGTTCGTACGTGTTTACGTGTCATTGAATTGGTCGATAAATACGCTGTTCTCTAGTTTTTCAGTCAAGGACACAACAATTAGTACCGGGTAAAAATCGACCGCAACTTAAAGTCACAACAGCATCTTGGCATTTTAACTCATGTCAGTTCGTGATAAATAAAAAAACTGTAGATCGAATTCCTAACCCTAACCATCAACAGTGAATCATAATCCATATCCTCCAAACTGCTTTATAACCCTTATTTAGCCATAGTAAGTAAATAGACACACGCAAAGTTACTTTGGCGTTGCTCAAAGGTCGTTTATAAATAATAGTCCCACCCTCAATGTCAAGAACAAATAATTTAAGACACATCATAGAATGGAAAAGGGATAAATAATTTTTCGAAAGATTAGAATGTACTAGTGATATATATATATATATATATATATATATATATATATATATTGGTACAAAGGGGTACCGAATACATATGTGCCACACAAGTCACTTGATTTGTGTATGGGCTGTGATACAACCCTGGTGCCCAGACCAAGCAAGTAATTTTCTTAGAGGGCCACACCCGGAGCCTTCGATCTAAAGGTATGATCCACAAGGCAGTGAAGTATCGTGAGGTGATGTATTCCCATGGTAGCCGATGACAAACAATTGGTTCTTACGCCATTTGTTTCCTCAGGATACTGGAGCCCATGTGCACCATTGGTTTGGAATTAGGGTTTCTTATCCACCATAAGCGGACTCTCCGTGTCCACCGACCCGGTTAAAGCGTCAGACATTCGCTTTTCACCCTCAATTTCGTGAACAACAGTAATGCCGCAAGAATGCAGTGAATAGGACTTCCCTGTCAGTAGCTGTATGCACGTGGACGAAAGAGAGCATTCGAGAGTGAGAGCTGAATTTCCCCACCCTCAACCTTATCAGGACTCGGTAGCCAAGTGAATAACGTGATGTTGTTTGTGGCGACTGGTACTGGGTTCGAGTCCCGTAGTGAACATCAACTCTGATATACAGGTAAATCTAACTGACGAATAGCAAAATAGGATGAAACGCGCATCCTTGATTCCACTGCCAGCCACTAACTATCTTTGCTTATCAGCTATTTTAATTTTTATTGATTATTCAAGGTACTCAGTATACTATCGTTTTATCTACACAAAAAAACATTGAACAATGAGTTACATGAATAACAAGACCGAGAAATCAATTGTGTTGGAAAGAAATAATTTGAAATTACATTATGATCAGATAATAAGTGAGAGCATCTATTTTATATACAGTTTCTTCAAATCAGATTCTAGTTTGAAAGCCCAACATTTACATACATGAAAATGTAAGCTATCGGTGGTGTCTATATTCAATTGTCTTTACTCGAATCATCATGCTACTCGAATGCCCCCAAATGCCCTAGTATGGCCGAGAGTGGAGTAGGCCCGCCCTCCCTCTTGAAATGCTCTCACACGAACACGCGTATACAGCCACCGCTAGGGAAGTCCTACTCACTGTCTTCTCGTGGCGGGGGTGTTGTTTACGAAAATGGGAGGACGAAAAGCGAATGTCCGGCGCTTTAACCGGATTCCAAACCATTGGTGCACATGGGCTCCAGTATCCTGCGGGAACAAATGGCGTAAGAACCAATTGTTTGTCATCGGCTACCATGGGAATGCATCTCCTCATGATGCTCCACTGCCTTGTGGATCAGACCTTTAGGTCGAAGGCTAGGGTATGGTCTCCTAAGAAAATCACCTGCTTCGGTCTGGGCACCAGGGCAGTATCACAGCCCACACACAATTATGATGAATTGTCTATATTTAATTATGATGAACTCGAATAGACTGAGTAATTCATATCCAAACACCCCCTCCCCTATGTGATAACTAAGTTTTTTCCTAAAAACCATTAGTAACGTGGATAAGAAAATGTTAAGTATACTATGTTTGACACCATGTGATGTTGTGGATGCGTATTAGTGAGGAATCCTATACCAAGAAGTAGCGCTTCAGTCCTTCTTATTTTTTAGGATTTCTTTAACTGAAATCTGTTCGTAGTATACACCTACATAATTCGACAATCCATACAAACTGTTCATGAACAGTACACATTGTATTTGTGATTAGATTTTACCGATAGTCAAACTGTTGTCACGCCAATACTCTAAAATGTGAATGTATTAAAAAAAGAATTATCTTCTTATATATCCAAGACAATTTGATATGTACATTAGTAAAGGTAAAATGAGCTGATTGTCACTCAAGAAACCATGTATACATGAATGTAATCAATTTTCCATGGTGGTCTAGCTTCAACTAACTCATGATCTCAACCATTGTAATACTTATTACTTGAAAGTTAAAGATACTTTCTAGCTTCAAGTACATAATATCTTGCCCTTGATTCTGTACTTGATTTTGGATGTTCATTGTTAAGTTATTCCAAAATGACATAAAATAACTGTTTCCATGTCTTCAAACAGTATAAAAATTATCTTCATAAGTAAATGCGAATTAACGTTTGAATCTTTAATGAAAATAATTGAAAAATAAATACTTTTACCATTGTAAAACAAAACTATACAATTTAGTCCAGAATAGAAAAAATCATCTACTTTATGGTGTAAAAGAAGGTACATGAATATAAGACAATTATCCGTAAAAGGTTGTGGAAATTGTTGACTTTTAATTCATATCATGAACCGATTCATGTTAGAGAACCATTGAAATCATGGAAGCACTAGATGGTCGTTTCATCCTAATGAGTAGCTCCTCAGCAGTCAGTCAGTGACAACGTAGAACTTCGTACGTACGTACGTACATCAGTTCAAGTTGCCACACCACATTAGCACAGAGATACAGTGGTCGATTCAAATCCCGTAGTGGTAGAGGTAGTAAGAGTATAAGCAGTAATCGGAAAGATTAGGGTTTGAAGATATTTAAAGAGTATAATCCAGTGAAATAAATTTGGGAAGAGAAAAAAAGGGGACATGAGAAATTCAGAAGATTAGAATTTGGGAGATCACAAAGAGTGGATGCACCTGCGCTATTGCAAACGATTTCGAGTCAAGTCATTCAAGGTCTCTAACCATCCGTTGCTATCGTCTCGTGGATCCCAACCAGGTAGTCTACACCTACCAACATATCTCAGTCCACTTGTCAGTGATTTCCTGGATTTGTGTCATGCTTTTGGTTTGGTCGCCTCTAACTTTCTTCCAACCTACTCCTATATCATAAAACATCGCACGTCAAGGTAGTCGGTGGTTGGGCATACGTAACACATGTCCCAGCCATCTCCAACTGATGAAGTTTCACTACGTCATCAATTGATTTGCCATCCTTACCTAGTACCCGTTTCCTAAATACACAAAACTATCAATTTAGAAAAAAAATCACCGATCAACTACAGTCCTGAATACTAACCGAGAAATACAAATCTTTAGAAAAATTAATAAGATTATCTTTATTATTAAAACTAATAATATAAAAATCCACATGTATATTGGTCATGAATTCACATAGTAACTAAAATGAATAAATGAATTAGCAACCAATTTAATAAGTCATGGAAACCAATAAAAATAATAATAAAGAAATAACAAGTTCAAACAATACATGGAATAATGTGTTCGTATTTCGAATCCATATACAAAAGGATAACGAGAACACAGTAACAATAAAAAGAACATAGAACTAATTCACTTTAACTTTTCGTGTTGAATATTGCTGTTGTTGTTGGTGGTGGTGGTGGTCGATTTTAGAAACAGATGATACATTCCAATAATAAATTAATTGACCCATTAATATGTAATTACATAGACTAGCTAATATACATGATATAATCATTAGATTATCACCAGTTTCTTGAATTGATGTAAATATACGTGCAGTTGAACCTAAAGCAAATAGGAACAATGTAATAGCTGATAATTGACCTGTACTCCCATTACAATAATTTGTCCATATTTGAGCAATCTGGAAAAAAAACAGAAAATTATAAGGACTCTGACAATTTTAATAGTTGAGATCATGAGTCAAATGAAGCTAGACTACCATGAGAAACCTAGAAGCACTAGACGGTCGTTTCGTCTTACTGTGGGACTCTTCTCAGCAGTGCCAATATTATTTTAGCAATGAATGGACGAATAAATGTTGCTAGGACTGATAGGTCCTGGGTTCGAATCTCACGAGGTAGGATCATAGATGCACATTTCTGAGGAGTCCCACAGTAGTAAGAAACGGTTGTCTAGTGCTTCCAGGTTTTTCGTGGTGGTCTAGTTTCAACTGACTCATGATCTCAACTATTAAACTTACTATAATATCCACAAAACTCTAACAAATGTTTAGAATTTTATCGATAAAACGAAAAGGCGCGTAAATATATTCTAACAAACACATACACATACACACGTGAAAAGATTCAGATTGTCAAAATTTGAGAAGATTGGATGATTAGCCCAAGTTTTGTGGATTTGATGCTTATCATCAAGATATGTTTACAAACGAAAGTGAATGAACACTCGCCAGGATCCTCACACTAGTTCTACTACCATTAGCAAGGTCATATGCCAACATGGTTAGTTTTATTAGCCCCCAAATGGCCTGGTACGGCCGAGAGTGGGGAGAGTCAGATTTCCCTCTCCCAATTCTTCCACATGACCGCGCGGATGCAGCCACTATCAGGGAAGTCCTACTCACTGACTTCTCCCAGTATTACTGTTGTTTACGAAATTGAGAGGAGGAAAAGCGAACGTCTGGCGCTTTAACGGGGTTGGTGGGTATGAAGGTATTATAACTCACTCTTTTTACAACCCAGCTATTCCTATTGCTTAGTATTCTCGGACACTAATTCACTCGACAAGTCCCCCAAATCAAAACACGGTTGAACGGGAAAAGAGATTATATTCCAAATAACAAGGTTAGATGGAAGTAGAAACACAATAGGCAAAACGTTAGTATATTTATAGTTTTCACATGAGAAGATTTCTAGTATTCACTAAGTATTGACTAACGCTGATTGAATAAGAATTAACCAATCAGCGTGCGTCAACGTAAGCGTGCATTGAGCATGATATAATCCAATTTATGTCCCGCTAACATCTCCCTTTGAGCAGATTCGTAGGATCTGGTGTTTCGAGGACGTTGACCTTCTTTATGTCCACGTTTGTTGCACACCTGACATTTATGCTTCTTAAATGGACAGAATCGTACATAATGCCAATCACCACATAACCAACATGCAGTCGTTGGTTTGTTACGAGTTGTTATTGGCTTCTGAACTTTTAACCTAGTGATAGCATTGACACTACTAAAGGTTAAATTAGGATTTGCCTGTTCAATCAACTCGTTGTCGTGTCTGATGCTTTGTAGCCGCTTACACTTGTCTGTCAATGTTCTGAGTGTGACGTTTGGGTCTTGATCCAGTCGAGCCAAAAGTCTAGTCCTGATCTCAGCATCTTGTGGTGACAGAAGAGGTTTGATGAATATTAAGCATTTAAATTGGTCTTCTGTCAACGAGCGTAACTTGAACCGTTCATATTTTCTGTCGACGATGTCTGCTAGAACACCGTATTCATCGGCTTCGCGTTTCACCAAATTTAGACACCGATATCGAATACTAAACAATGAGGATGACTCACCGAATATCTCTGACAATTGAATTACCGTCTCCTCGAAACTGAGCTCTCGAGATAACTTTGGCAATATATGGTCAGTATAACGTGCATGTTCATTGCTTCCCAACTTACATACGAACAATCGAGTCTTCTACACGTCGTCAACAGAGAATGTGTACGGTTCAAGTTACGCGTATGAACCAAGTATTGGTCACTGGCTACCACGGGACTGCATCTCCTTGCATTGCTCCACTACCTTGTGGATCAGACCTTCAGGCCGAAAGCTCTGAGTGTAACCTCCTAAGAAAACCACCTGCTTCGGTTTGGGCACCTGGGCATTATCCCAGCCCTCACTTAAATCAAATGACTTGTGTGGGGCATATGTATTAGGTGCTTCCTTGTACTAATGTTCATGTGTTCAAATAAAAAGAGAAAAAACAAAAATTCATAGTAGGAAAATGGATACATCCAATAATTAAATAACTAACTACCTTAGATGATAACATAATTGGAAGATTAACTGTTTGCAATAGTATCAATATTGATAATGGAAGTGTTGGAGACAAAAGAACAGCTACACATGCTATATAAGCACAAGAGAATAGGACAGCTTTAATATGTGAATATGTCCAAGTTATTGCCATAATAGCCAAGAGGAAATTTTGTATACCTAAAAAGACTCCTTCTCCATAAGCACTAAACAAATAAACAACCAATTAATACAATTCATAAATCGTATGAAAGTTAGTGTTTATTAAATTTTTTAGACAATAGACATGGTAACATGAAAATTAATGTTATCATGTGACCAAAATTCACATGTAGCTTATGTTTTGTTTAAATGTATTGCATTCTAAGGATTAAATTGATATTGGATCCGAGTTGATAAAGTGACAATGAACTTAGTGTATTAATAGTAGATGATTTAGTGTAGAGAAGTGATCTTAATCATGTTAATCATAGAGAGATAACTGAATATATCATCATGAACAGATATGACAAATTTGATACCATAGATGATGAGTGAAAATGAAGAGGTCAGAAAAAAAGACATAGTTCATTAAGTGATGACCACATTTCAAAAGTAAACTAGAAAAAAGACTACGCAATGGCCGTGAGCAATGGTAGGTAACGAAAACAAAACAGATGGAAAAGACAACTGTTAGTGAGACCATTTCGGCAAAGGATGCAACTATGACTCACTCCTAGTTAGAATATTAAACAGACTGAACAAAAAGTCTTATGGAACAGTTCAATTGATTTCCAATTACCGACTATCTCTAAGTAACTTGAACACGAAATCGACACTTAGTGAGGTTGATAGGGTTATAGACAATCTAAAATGAAGAACAATAGAGGGCTCAGATGGATTAACTCCGATCTTTAGGGATGTTGGTTCAGTTTCAGCAACTAAGCTGAATGAAGTACTTAGCTACAGTTTGGAGGCTGTATGTAATCATTTGACCGATCTCGATTGTTGTTCGCTCCAATTTTTAAGAAAGGACCGGAATACCCCTGTAGAAACTGCAGAGGAAGCAGTTTGACTAATATATTATGTGAAATACTAGTCTCTATAATCATCAGACGCTTAACTAAGGTTCGGGAAGAGCAACCACAGGAAAACTAGATTGGTTTCAGACCTCGACGTAAATGTGCTAACGAAATACTTATTCTTCAAGTTTTATAAAATATGGATACTTTCAGACGCCCGACTATAGTTGTATTTCTTGAGCTTAAGGTAACATTCAACTCTGTTGACCAAGAGGTTTCATTGAAATGTTTGTCATTGAGAGGAGTACTACTGATGTATACCAATTTCGTGTACACCCTCTACTCAGGCATCACTGATTGAGTCGATGCTTACGGCGAACCGTTATCAGAACTTTAAACTTCGTCAGAGCTCCCCGTTATCCCCATTTTTATTTAATTTTGTCGATGTCCTCCTAGAAATAGCACTCTTTCACCTAACTTTGAGGTCCGTTTCTCTCCCTCTAAGCGAAAAATGTTGTTTCAGGGCTGGTCTGTGTCAACACCTGAATAGATTATAGGGAGTGACTTAGTTGAAAGTTTTGATCATTTCACTTACCTTGGAAGCTTCATAAGCTTTGGTAGACTGGACGCTACATCTACTTACTGAAGAAAATAAACAGAACAGGTGAATTGGGGTTCGGAACTGAAAATTAGTGGTTGAAATTCGGATGCCCTAACCACTAAACGACTACTCCAAGGCTCTAAACAGTCAATGGTTTTATAGATTGATGCCACATCTCCTGGTCACTCCTACTATTCTTCCTACTAATTCCTACTTTAAGTAATACTGCTCATCGATGAAGGCAGTGGCTGGGCATAGATACTATGTCTCAATCAACTTGAACGTAGGCTACAAGTGACTATGTAGCTCCGATGCATCGAATGTACTTTCAGGATTTTTGAACGAAACTACATAGTTAGTCGTGATTACTAACAGTATCATCACATATTATTCACTCAGCTCAACTTTCAGATTCTTGGTTTCGCATTGAACATTTCTTGATAGAAGTGTGTGAAATTTTGTACAAACGTATGAATTTGTCGAATTCTACATTAATAACAGAAGGGCTTTTTGTGCATATTATAGTAATTTCAATAGTTGAGATCATGAGTCATTTGAAGCTAGACCACCATGGGAAACCTGGAAACACTGGACAGCCGTTTCGTCCTACTATGAGACTCCTCACTGGCAGTGCGCATCCACGAATCAGCCTCGTGAGATTCCAACCCAGGACCTATTAGTCTCGCGCGCGAGCGCCTAACCTCTAGACCACTGAGCCGGCATCCAACGGTGTTATAATATCTAACTTCAACTAATCCACGAAATTGAGCGGCACATACACCATTGTCATCAGTGAGTTACTCTCTCACAACAGATCCGGTTGAACTCTAAATTGTTCGAACTAGTCAGTAAATATGAATAATATACATTCAGTGAAATTTTATATAAAGAAAAATAACAGTTATATTTATTTACCTGAACGGGAATCCATTAGCAAATGAGTAAGCGCTTACAGATGTTAAAGAGATCATTTCAAGTAAAATTGAAAGTATACTCAAACCAAATGAATTTTTACATTTTGCAACTTTTATTACTTGTGGAATTTTAACTTTTCATAAACTACAATTACTGACTACAAGGAATTGAAACTACTTACCAAGTGAAGAGCCAATAACTATTCCATATCCTAATAATTTACTAATAGTTGCTTTAAAACATGGACCTAAACAAAATAGTAGATCAATTGTTTGTTTGTTTTTTCGAAAAATTACCATCAAATAAATCTCCTTCTTTTGTAAACTTATAAAAGCATTCTTTAGAGATTATAGGACTGATTAAATTTTCTAAAGCCATACTTCAAATGTAATAAAATAATTGAGGGGATAGTTTGGCAAACTCTTTCAATCGATTTGTGTTTATATGGAAAATTAGAGAAAACTAAAAGAAAATAAGGAAAAGAAGAATCAGTTGAATCAATAACATTTTAAACCAAGTAAAAATCTAACAGCCTTTCTAGGTCTGTTGTTTCTGAACACTTTAGGGATTTGTAGCATGAAATAAAAAAATATTTTCATTGAAGTAATACATATCTTCACTTGGTGTTGTTTTACTTGTATCTTCCCATTGTTATTTAGGACTGCAATTGATGTCTCATGTTGGCATATGTGCATCCTGTGCGGACTGCCTCGATGTAGCCTCAAATCACAAACGTTTTAAGCAAGGATGATGGATAGTGGCCAGCAGTGGAATTAAGGATGCGTGTTTTGTCCTATTCGGGACTCGTCAGCTGGATGTACCTGCACCCCGTATAATCAAATTTGCATTAGACATATTAACCCTTCTTTGTAACTTTAAGTCAATGTAATCAGGATGCTTTGTATGTTTAACGCTTTTATTTCAGGTAAATCAAATAGATATATGACGTAGTCGTAAGTTTACGGATGCCATGAAAACCGATTTTAGGGTGTCAGTATACAAATTTTGACTAGTATTTTAGTTGGTCAGATATCGCTGTTTAGTTCGGTAATCTAACTGCTTCATAAAACTGTATACCAGACATGCTACATTCAAATTTAAAAAGTGGTATGCATTTAGTTAAAACATACATTCTAAGATGTCTCGTTCATGAGACAAATTCCGAGTTCCCATTTTAAATTACTTATATATCCTGCAGTGTCCAAATTTATGACACCAAATCTACACTTGTAACAGAAGCTCCTAGCTTCTGTTAAAATGACCCAACAAGGCAATTCAGATAAGTAACAACTACCAAAAGTAAGATGAGATGATTCAGTGCCAACAAAATGGTGAGTATTTAATATTTGCAATATTTGTGTTCTATTATATGAACTGAACATCATTATCATTGAGAGTGGAAAAGACAAATGCCAACCTCCTGAAGTAGAAAAACCGACAACTAATTTCTTGCTAAACTAATCGAGTAATTGAGCATAACCATTTGTAAGGTCACGTAGATTTGAAATAAAGAATTTGTCACTGAGGCCATGATGTGAAATATTTACCCCCAAATGCCCTGGTATGGCCGAGAGTGGGGAGAGTCCGCTCTCCCTCTCGAAATACTCTCACACGGCCACGCGTATACAGCCTCTGCCGGGGAAGTCCTACTCACTACCTTCTAGTGGCGGGGGTGTTGTTTACGAAAATGAGAAGACGAAAAGCGAATGTCCGGCGCTTTAACCGGATTCCAAAACCAATGGTGCACATGGGCTCCAGTATCTTGCGGGAACAAATGGCGAATGAACCAATTGTTGGTCACCGGCTTCCATGGGACTGCATCTCCTTACGACGCTCCACTGCCTTGTGGATCAGACCTTCAGGTCGAAGGCTCGGGGTGTGGCCGCCTAAGAAAACCACCTGCTTCGGTTTGGACACCCGAACAGTATCACAGCCCTCACACACATATCGAATGAGATTTGTGTGGCGCATATGTATTTGGTGCCTCTTTGTACCATTATCTATGTGTTGAAATAAATAAAATATTAGCTTCAGATAGCGTTAATTATGTAATCTCGTTCTCTACATAATCTGAATAAATACATAGAAACACGTGACCAACCTGTAATACATAGAAGCTGAAGTTGAGGTAAATAGTGCTACGTTTAACACATAAATCCGTTTATTTTTCAGATACACAAATGGTTTGAAAATAACCGAGAAACGTTCGTAATGGTAGGGGAATAGGAAAATGATCACTCCCACGCTGTCAGCCAGAATAGTAATTACACAACCAGAGTGAAGATTTGTTGTGGCTCTTATACTTATGCTTAATAATCCTTTAAAATTTTAGATGATGGCGAAAAGTCTGATGGGTGATAACTCAAAAACATCGATGAGATTCATCACCATATGTCACAAAACCTGAAGTAGCCAACCACTTTACACTAATTAGTACTACCAGCAAAAGTGCTCTCCGGATGTGCCGATTTTACAATAGCATACGAAGTAAAAACACTTCTGTTATTTTTAATCATCAGGCGCACTAACATTATGATTTTTATCTCTAGGTTTAACAGGAAAACATCTTGAAAAACTGAACAACATGCCAACCCAAGGTTATTTCCGTGACATGAAAGACAGGCTCATGAGAGCTACCGTAGAAGGAGGGACAATGTAAGTAACGTTCTTCAGAGGTAACTTCTTATTTCCGTTTTTTTGGCGCACGGTACTACTTTGGCAAACATCACTGTAAGTTGAACCTTGTGTTGTTATGTTTTAACACTAAACATATTGAAGTATAGTTTCAATACACAGACTAATTTCTATTACATTTTAGAACTCACTGGACAATACTTATGGTTCGTAGTGCGCATACACCATACATCAACTCTTGCACTTCTATGTGTTAAACGGCAGTAAGTTAGACGTACGCGGGAAGTGCACATGATTTTCCATTTCGTTTATAGCAGAACCTCATTATTTATACATAATTTTCTTGATAAACTACGAATTCGCCGGTTACCTTCTTAAGATTTCCTATTATAATAATCATACTTATCACTCACAGCAAGAACATGTCGGCACCTAAAAGTCCTAAATATTCTTGTAAACATTCGTTAAAATTTCTGCAAACAGATGTCTTCTAATACATGTATCATACCCCAAATTTGGTCAATTGTGTTGAAAAGTTGGTTTCCTTGTGGAAGTAGAGTCTAACAGTGGATAGTTTCAAGTTTGCTTATCTATCAAAAGTTTAGGATTAGAAACAGTCACTTTTGTGATAATGTAGGTAGACTAGATGGTGTAAATCCCGAGAAATTGCTCCGCCAGGGAGACATGTAATGGAAAAGTCTCACAATTTCACACCATGGTAGGAAGCAATGAGCTACCCCTCATTCACACCAAATTTTATTAGGAAATGTCGTCATCATTTCCCTCGTGTTCTGTTACACTTCCTCGCTATGTTTGCTTCGGAAGGCCGCAGTTTTACCTTTATTATGAAAAAACGATGTTGAAACCTAAACACGACAATATGGTCGAGAGAATAATCTATTCGATGCTAATCCAGTACTGAACTATTCATACGAAAAGTCAAGCTAGAATTAAGCCACGAAACAGGTTACAACTGCAGACAGACTTACGTGTAGCGCAAAATCCAGATAACCGCTATACAAACCACAAACTTCCTGATATCAGTCTTCAGTAGTAAGGACAGGAGGTCTATTGGCCTATATCAATCCTTACAATTTGTAGCACTGTGGAAGTTCAATCTTACTTTAAAAGAACCAACAGGTGCTGATATTACGTGTTTTTGGTAGAGAAATTCAGTAATTCACCACTCAATTTGAGAAATGTAACTCCAGACGTAAATGATATGGCCTCGGTTTCTGAACTTTTATAGAACTTTTGCCAAAATTATCAGTTCTAGATGGAAGGAAAATATAAGGCATATTAATGCTAAGATCGTCGTTCAGCCAAAATTAGATCATCTCGGAATCTGAAGTAAGATAACGGAAATAAGTGAAGGTGTCTCAGTCTGTCTCCATAGGATAGGTCAGAGAGACCCTTTGCCATTTTCCTCCCTTGTCATTGGACTCATTCTAGCATGTCCGCCTCATACTCGAAACATGAACTCACTTCTCAAATCTCATATTCCAAATGCGACCTCACAAAATTTGGGTATAATACCCTAAACATTTATCTGTCTAAGCATTGAAAAGGCTTACAAACAGCCCATAAGACCCTGAAGTCTTTGGCTGCTGTCCATAGTTTTTCAGTCGTTGCTTATTATGACTCCTAGATCCGTGTAGTCCATTACTTTAGGTAACACGACTCCACATACTGTCTAGTGAGAAGAATCTTAGTACTTATTTATTTGCATCACTACACTTGTCAGGGTTAACTTTTAATGGCCAACTGTTCACCCGTTCAGCCAATGAATTTGGGTCGCCCTATAATATTTTTCTATCTGATATGTTGTGTATGGATCTTCAAATCTTTATGTCATCTTCCAAGAGTAGAAAAGATGACTTTGCTACAGTTGACAGATCATTTACACGAGACAATAATGAAGAAAACCGGGGATTGTACCTTGGGAAGCTCCACTTTTTATATATTCCCACGCTAAGAAAGCTTCATTTACTCGTACCCGTTGTCTCATATCATGGAGAAAGACACTTATCCAGTTTATGATTTTATACTGGATACCAATACCTTCCAGTTTTGATTTATGACCCAAGTGAGAGATATTTCAAAGGCTTTACCCAGATCTATAGAAAGCACACCTACCAGAATGTTTCTGTTTTTCACTGCATTCCAATCTCCTCTTACAGGGAGCATACATGTCAAGCGTGACAGGTCTTTCTTAAAACCATACCACTATCTGGCTAAAAGATTATCCCCTTTCACATAGTTTAAAATAGTCAACGGAATAATCGTTTCCATTAGTTTGACGACTATACTTGTTGGACTAATGGATCGATGGTTATTAGGTTTCAACCCCCCGCTTTGTAAACCGAACTGATCATTGTATTTTCCTTTCTTGGCAGTTTGGACTGCTACATGGACATATCCAATAATATCGCCAGAGATTCCTCATTTCCATCCAGCAGGGCTTCCACAATTTTAAGATGAATATCGTCAGGGCCATTGTAATCATCTATCTTGAGATGTTGAAGTAAACGTGAGATAGCTCCTTTCTCAATAACCACACTAACCATAGACAAGCTGCAATTATGACAATTAACTGCTGATCTTTTACCATCCTCCATGAGATGCACTTCACTAAAATATTCTTATAAAAATTCAGCTTTTGCAACATCATTTTTTGCTGATATCAATGGATTTTCTCGAATCAAAAGTGTTGGGCCTGTCACTATTCTGAGTTCAACTCTCCATACGTGAGAACAACCTTTTCGGACTCTTTTCACAATTTCTCACCAATCGTTTTTTCATATAAATATCTAGCATTACTTATTAACTCTTTGTAAGTTTTCCTGATCTTACAATAAATGGATCCGCAATGCTCATAGTCTATAGATATGAATATGCTCCACTGCTTCCTCTTACGTCTAAGAAATTCCTCAACCTGATTAGTTGACCATGGTGAACAGTTATTCAGCCTAAGTGCTACTAAGCATAAACATAACTAAATTAAGCGCATTCTAATAACCGAAATACCAATTTTCGGTTCAACGCAACACTAACAAACCAAATTTTATTCGATTGGGCCAGACTACGTTCTTCTGTAAAACCTACGAAGCATTTTTCAGCGACTTTTATTCAGTCATACTAGAACATAAATTCTGCGTTCTAACTAAACAGTTCTGATTCAAGAAAGAGCATAAATTATATCAATAGTACAAAACGCCTCAAATGGTATGACCTGTGCTATACAGTCCAGGGTTTCTCCAGCACAGTTTATGTATGAAGAAGAGAGAGAAAGAAGAACGACTGAGAAGAACAGCTAATGTCTCAGGAGATCAATAATGATAATAACAGTAATAACAATAAACAAGAATATAAGTGAACTATGTATGTTTAGATGGAAAGAAATGAATAAATATATGAACAAAATTTCAAAGGTTCTACTTTGCTCTGCAGTTCACTAAATAGATATCAGACCTTCTTTTTACAGATCATTAGTAATCACATTGATATTTATTATTATTATTATTCACAAACATCTTACGGGTACATAAGTGTTGTGAAGATACCCTTTCGGGTTTCTTCAAAAATTCAATAACACGCAAGTTTCAATAATGTTAGCATTATATTTGCCATATTTGAAAAAGGAAATAATAATAATAAATGAAGTTCTGTTTAGTTGAGAGGAAGCTAAGGAAGAAAATAAAAGAATAGAAATAAAGGAGACGTGAAATAGTTTAACAAGAATAAACGACTATGTATGTGTCGTCAAATTAGTGACAAAAATAAAATGGAAAATAATTAAGGAAAAATAACTCATTATTGCAGTAAGATATTACGCTGGAATAAACGTTTGTGCAGTCATAGTTCGGAGCGATGCTACGAAAGTCTGAATTAAGTGAAAAGGGTAACCAAATATCAATATGTATGAGCCATATATGTATGGTGAAGATAAAACGAGTCTGAGAAGTTAATTTAAACGTAACACAAGTTATTGTCTTAATTAAAAACTTCGTAATCTTAAGAATAATATTTGTTTAGATGGAAAAAAGACAGAAAATAAATGAATACCTTGTGAAAAGAGTTCAACTATGATAATAATTCTGTAATGAGTATCGACCTCTGAAGTAAACCAGCAATTTAAAAAAGATCAAATAAATGGTACACATTGCTTTCAGAAAAAAGTCATAACGAAGACTTTAGGATCGGATCATAGTTTTGCTGCAACAGAGATTTGCTGGGAGTCTGTTCCACATGACTGAATAACGAAAAACGAAGAAGTTCTGGCGTAAGCTTGTGTATGTCCTCGGAATCCATAGAACGTTTCCTTTATTGCTCAGGTTGTGAGGTGACATGACAGGGTATGAAACAACGGATGCGGGAGTGTAAAAAATAACATTCACAAGCCAGTAGATAAAGACAAGGTCTGATTTAATACGCCTTATCCAGAGACATCTTAATTTGAGTTATCGGCATCATTATTGGTAATCTTTATTGTCAGAATACTGCGAATACTGTGAATACTTTACATTTTCACTAAATCATTATGCCTGCAATTATTGTGAACTCGAATATCATATGCTAGTATGCATATGGCACATTTTTTGTATTATTATAATCAAGATTCGATGTTATTGAAATTTATCATTATGAATCCAATGAGCTTTCTTTCGTTGGACACTTGAGACGTAGTTTTCTTTGGTAAGAGACGAGAATGAATAAACCACCTTCAGATCATCGACAAAAACGAACGGTTTACAGTGTCGAAAGAGTGAGCATGTAGAATTATGGTCTACTATGATATTCGTACTGCTCTAATAATAGATCAAATTCTAACATTGTAGATTTTTTATAATGTAACTGCCTAATCCATAAGATCTTACATGGAAGTAACATCATTGCCTACACCAAACCATCGTGTCATAACAATCGTCAATATGGTGAAGAACACATTAAGGCTGGAGATAGAACAACATATTTAATATGGATGAAAGGTATATAACAACATTAAGTAGTGACCACGCCTGCAAGACCGAGCCATGCCATCCGATCATCTTGGATCAATTCAATTCACTGTTATCGCCTTCTCCATCTTCGGGTTTTTCTCCGCGTTAAATGTTGAACATCTATTTTCCCAAGTGTCTCCCGTTGAGCTTTGAGGACTGTGTGATTAGAACCCAGTGCCACTACAGGCACACGTGACTAGGGAGAAGGACAAAAACTAATCGACCAGTCATACTCCGTCGTACAACCGCACCGGTTACATTCATAGGCTTAAAGTAGAAAGACCCAACGCGAATGATCTGAATACGTCCTGACAAAGATTTGAACCAGAATAAAAAAGGATTTCATATAACAGTTGAAGAAAGTTTTAGAAGAATAAGAGGGTTGTGCGAGACACTATTGGAGGCTTTACTAAAATCAAAGTGCAGAATTATCAATGATTGACCAATATCTCTTTTCTGAGTAATTTGATCAAAAACCTTTAAGTGCTATAGGCAGCATGAGCGTTCAAGCATAAACCTATGTTGAACTGAGCTAATCAGACTCGTAAAAAGTGTAAGTGATTATAACTGTTTTTGGATTATGTTTCCAATGGTTACAGATAGCACGGATTTCAACTTAATGGACGTACAGTTATCAATATCACGACGTTACCCCGTTTCGAATCTAGGGGTTATAAGTGCTGTTTCACATGCAGATGGACGAGTTCCATAGTACACAGATAGGTTGAACAGTTTAAAACTGAGCAATGCAAATTCTCTACAACCTTACTTGACAAATGATGCAGAAATGCCATCAGGCCTTCTTTATACGTTTTTTCATGGCAATTATAGCTTGCTTGATGTTGGTGGATATGAAATCATTTGTGGATGGATGTTGAGATGTCAATATCGGAAACTTAACGATGGAGTATGGTGGAGTATGATTTCCATGATAAACATCGAAAAGAAGTTCCAGTGCGCTTTCACGTTTTCTTGATTAAGCTGCTCGCTAAGGTAAATTGTGGCAGAGATTGAAGAGGGACACCAGAGCCCACAAGCGGAAATACGTAGAAGATTTAGCGATGACTACTTATAAAGCTGAAAGATAAGGGATCCTGAAGACAGAAGGAAAGGAAAAAGTTCAAAGAACACAGCGTCGAGAATCGGAAGCAAGAATCAAATTAATGAACAGCAATTAGAAACAACTTTAAAAGACTGCTCAGTATATATTTCGATAGAGAATCCTGCTGGGCAATCCATTCTCTTCTGTGACGGGTGACAAGTGCAAGTAAATAATACGATACAACTAATAAACTAGCAAGAAAATGTCGAAAAAGAGAGAGATCAGTCAAAGACAGTGAAGGCAAGACAATCACTGAGATTCAAAAACAGAGGAACAGATAGGTAGAACATTTTGAAGAACTCTTGGGTAGACCAACCCCATTGAAACCACCAGACATCAAACCACCGCATACACACCTTCCTATATATGTCACTGCAACAACAACCAAACAAATCAGTATAGTCATCAGACAAATCAATAGTAAGGAAGCAGCAGGATCTCATAACATACTAGCTTAAACACTCAAGTCAGACATATAAATAACTGCGCAGATGTTTCGTGTTCTATTCAGGAAGATTTGGGAGGAGGAACAATTACCGACAGACTGGAAAGGTCACCTCATCAATATAATAAACAAAACAGATCTCAGTATGTCCGAGAACTACAAAGGCATCACACTACTGCTATCAGTATCACGAAAAATTTCAAACAGTGTTCTTCAACCGCATGAAAGATTCAGTAGACGCCCAACTTTCAGATTAATAGACTGGATTTCGTAGGAATCGATCATGTGCCGACCAAATCACCACAATACGGATCGCTGTTCAACAGTCATTTGAATGGGACTCGGCACTATTCATGAACTTCCTTGACTAAAAGAAAGCAACTGACACTGCTGATAACAGAACCTTGTGAAAACATCTTCAATACTATAGAGTGCTTGAGAAGATTATCAACACATGTGGATAAGTTTTAATTGACTCATCAATTATTATGACGGATTACTCTGAAAAGTCGTGTATGGAGGACAGCTCACAGATGCATTTCAAGTGACGACCGGTTTCAGACAAGGTCATATGAAATTTCATCACATACAGTATTCAATCGGCCAGTGCATAACAGCTGAATGTAATTAAATAAGATTCGTCACTGGGTATCTTTAATTTTGGTGGACTTCAGGCTAACAGTTTGGGTGAGTTTACTTTAGTATCGCACAGATGTCTGTACTAAAGTGTGATATCCATTACTTTGTATTACGTGTAAGGTTTATGAAGTAACACGAGGCCATATTAAATGACGATATCGTCCTCATCATTACTCTTGTTAAGAGGTTAGATACCGCCCATTTTGTTCAGTCACAATATTTCATCTTTTATCGTCAGCACTGCTGTATTCGTGGCTTTAGTACATGTCCAGTGTTATGCAAACTGTGGTTGCAGCCCAAGGTCGGTGGGGATAGCTAGCAGAAATATAAGCGATATTTGTTTTGATTATGATCTACACAGACATTTGTGTATAGACTTGGATGCATGAGTGTTCTTGTTTGTGAAATTCCCCACATATATTCATCTTATGTAATAACAACGCCTTGTTTTACACCCAAGAATTAAATCGTGATTTTCAGGACCCCCATTTGCATATTTCTTCTCTCTCTAGTCTGCAGATGAAATCGTTATGTTAGGTCTACTTCAAATTTGGTTTTCTCAGTTTACCAACTCACTTTGTCGCTTTTACGGTGGAATGTTTTGATCTGATTTTAATTTTTCTGCAAGTTGGGTGGCTGCCATATTACTTCCTAAGGTTTGAACAGCTGCTATAAACGGGCTGGATTGACCTATCATATAATGCCATATTACTGCTAATTGTTTGTTGGGGGTGTCCTTTTTTATTGAGAAAAGTATCTAACTCATTCCTCCAAGATCGATTATTTGATAATTACACAGCACAAGGTTTGCATGAAACGCCTATCTGACTGGCTTTGGATGGCCAGTTCTTAAATAACAAAATTAAATCCCTAGTTTGTCAGGGATATACTTTCCCTTCAACGTATATTGAACGTGCTTTCACTAAATAACCTTTTCGGTTGTGTAGGCTGGTGATGTTACCAGCTTAAATATTTTTTGCGGTTCATATCTACAGTCCTCGTAATTAGAATAGCATCTAACGTAAGACATTTATTTTGAATTAACCTGTGAGGAGGGATGAGTCTCTAACGTTTAACTGTATGCTACACATAATCCAAACTGTACCGGCTTGAACTAAGCAGTCAAAAAATTTGAAAAGAATAAATTAAGTTGAGAATTATAGGTCAGTCTAAGATATTAATAACATTCACATAGTCACTAATTATTCGGCTGCTGTAAAATTGTAGTTATGCATACATATGTATTCAGATTCTGCATTCCTCTGATACTAGTGATAGATCAACAGTTTCCTCTGGTTCTTTTCTGTGTAAATCAACAAATGGATCATCATGATGATAATTTAGTCCATTGAATGCTTATTACTTCCTTCCTGGCTGGTTTCTATGAGATCGGGGCTATTTTTACACACCGATTAGAACAATTGTAAAAAGGCGGGGTAAAAGCTTTACACCAAAATTAATTTATGTAAAGAACATCAAGAGCATTTATAAATCGACGTGTGACTATAGTTTGCTGAACTTTTCTGAGAACATGCTAAATAAAAAAACGGTACAGATAATTATTCAATCAAAAACGTGACATTTGACCCTTCATTTTTTCCAATATTCCTGAGAAGCTTCTATTCATTGTTGATTGCATAAAAGAGTCTTCGGAGTTTTTGGGCTTCTAGAGGTTTCAGAGGGGAATATCTCATGACCCTTCAACAGTTGCTATATTTCAAAAACATATTGAAGTTTATAATAAGATTTTTGGCACCGTTCGGAACAGTGTGGCGAACGAACAACCAAGATCACGTCAACCAATCTTAAGCAAGCTAAAGAGTGAAGTGACACAAAAAGCCATATAACATCTACAAAATGGATAGCTCCACCTGTGGAAAAGAATATCGAATAAAGAAAACCTCATCTTCATCTTCATTTGCGTGTATGCCAACTAGTTGTCAAATGCCACGATTTATCTTCGCTTATATCAATGCACGTGGACAGTTATGAACACAGGTCTGACTGGGAAGAGATTGTGATATTGGTTAGAGAGAATATTGACTGTGCAGCAAAGTCTTCAAGACTTCATCGCTCAAGTTAATTAGTAATCAGTAAACAAATTCAAATAGATCAAATTTTTCAGCCAATTAAGAATGATCAAGAAGAATCGTAAGGACAAAAATCAGATCGACATGAATTGCAACCAAAACAAAAGTGCAAACAGTGACAGGACAATGATCAACACCAATCAGTCTAGATTAAGACTGACAGAACGGCCCGTAATAAATGTGTGTGCGAAGTCAAGTAGCTCCCATGTATCAGAAGTTGTCCAGGAGGTTGATGAAACCCTCACAAATAAACCACACAGATGAAGGAATCGAACTCCACTAAAATTATCTTTATGAACTGCATATCTTCCATACTGCACTCACCGCTAGCCGAACGGGCGTCAGCAAATGTCATCAATATACTTATTTGGTATTTCGGACCCTAAATAAGTTTCAAATGTCCTTTGTAATGTATAGACTACTGAAAACTTCCCCACCGTAAATAATCCATGAGAAACGTATGTAGCTAACAAATACACGTTGCTTGAGAGAAAGAGAATTGTGAAGTATTTTTCATACCATTTAATAGAGAGAGATGCTGTGGAAACGAAGCAGCACGAATGAAAGTGTAATTTTAAGTATATAACTTATATATTAAGTAAGTGGACGTTTGTACTCGTAATCTTAAGCTTACAGTGAAGTGATTTCATTTAAGTTGTTGCAGAAGTAGTTGCTAATAAACATGCAGTCAGCTCAATTGATTCATAAACAACCTGTGGAAAATATTGCCATTTGCATTTGTTTAGTGCAGCTAGCCGCGGGAACTTGAGATTCAATTGTATTTGCGCTCGAATTCTAAAGCTCTATAGTTGTTATGCCATCGAAGAACAGCCGGGAGTCGGAAGAAAGTGCAGGCGAAGATGAATTTCAGGTGGAAAAAATCCTGAAGGTTCGTATAAGAAATGGACGAAAAGAGTACTTCCTCAAATGGAAGGGTTATTCAGAGGAGGACAATACATGGGAGCCAGAAGAGAACTTGGATTGCCCTGACTTAATCAAGGTAAATTTTCAAAATATGTAAATAAAATTGACGATAAGTACCTATTTCAATCTTAAGCAGTGTATTCTGGCTACGTTTTCCTTTAAGTGTGATAACCTAATTCTTTCGATCATCATAACCCGAGTTCCCAATTTTGGGGAAGATGCTGTAGTAAAGTTTGGGGAAATGGCACCAAAACACCGAAATTTCCCCAAATCTGAGGAAATTCCTGAATATTACCCTAGACTTCCCCTTTAACCTTGGTGAAGGGGATTTCCCCATAATTCCGCTGAAGAAAAATATACTCTTCCTACTTATATAAAATTACGACACACAATTAGGTTTGTGGTTTGAAACTTATGGCCCCTTGAAGACGTAACTCTTGGATTTATTAACTTTACAGGAATTCGAAGAAAGACGAGCTCGTGAAAGAACCTCACTTACTAGCCCTGCCAGGACTTCGAGTGCTGACTCTAAATTTAAAAACAGATCTAAAGGATCGTCACTCAGTTCAGATAGCGTTAAGGACATTAGTGAAGAAGTACCCGAACCAGCAAAGAAAAAGCGAACATCCAGCATACCCGCGAGTGTGGAAGAGTCAGCTAACGAAGTGCCAAATGTTCCAGATGAACCAAAGGAACCTACAAACGAAGACCAGAAGGTAATTTTTCAAAGTATTCACATATTGGATTGATTATGTACACTTGTTTTTCGTACGGTTGTTCTAATGAATATTTTCATTTCACTAATGCTGTAAATATAGTTGTTTGTGATTATTAAATTGTTAGTGGTCTGAAGATGGTCGTTTTGTGTTCTCTTCTAGCAGAAAGTTGTCAAGGCGACTGGGAAGACGCGCGGATTTGCCCGGGGGTTAAAAGCTGAGAGGATTATTGGAGCTACAGACTCAAGTGGTGAACTGATGTTTTTGATGAAATGGTAGGTCCCTGACTTTGTGATCTTGGCACGTATTTTTTACTTTGAGTAGTGACTCGATGCGTCACACTTGTTGTCTTTCCATGTTTTTTTTAGGAAAGATTCTGATGAAGCTGACTTGGTACCTGCTCGCGAAGCGAACATCAAATGTCCACAAATCGTAATCCGTTTTTACGAAGAAAGACTAACCTGGCACACACCCGAAAATCGGCCTTCTGGGACTCCTCGTTCTGGATCCACCACTCCAAGCGCTGCAACTGCAGCAGCACGCACTTGACTTTCAAAATCGTTTTGCATTTAGCCAGTGACATGGTTTTAACTCCTTTTTCACCACGCATTTCTGTAAAGATGCCATTTTGCTTATGTATTATACCAGATGTACGTTTTCTTACTATCTACTCGTTTCTTATTGATTGATTACAAATCTACATTGTTTTAATCTCGGTTTTCGATTCAAAGTCCGCTGAACGGGTCACACGTCGTAACTTAATATTTGTCTAACAATTCTTAAGGCCGTGCGTAGTATAGGCTATGAAAGTAAGTCATATGATGCATCATGCCCTAACTCCTATCGCGTGGAAGTAGAACTGTTTATCGTCCAAACAAATTTGGGAGGATTCTGTGGCTTATGTATTATACAGATGGGGTACTACCCGAAGTTATCCGTTGATGGCAAACGAATAGCCATTGATGTACCGGTCTGAAATATACCTCGAATTTAGTGAGACCGTAGCGGCGTCATTTTGCATAGCTCAGTTTGACGCACTGCACTAAGAATCTGTTCATTTTTTATACGATGCGTCAAGCCGTTTATTAAAGTCGACCAAAGCTCTCCGTCACTATCATACTCTCTGTATCTCCAGTTAGGTCTTTGGTTGGAGAGCTCTAACTTGACCTCCCCGTGTCATTTCAATAACATAGTGTTTGCGAACGACTAGATAGAAAGGTGTAAATGCCTTGAAGACGGTTGAGATCGGACTTTCTTCAAGCTACCTGCTTGATTCAGTCGAAGTATCGCTGGTGGTGGTGCTCGCCTCCGTAGATACCCAGAGTAGAGCAGGTTAAATGAGGGTTCAAGATAACGACAACTATCAGTATTTCTAGATCCCCGAAGTGGTTTTTTCTGTAGGCGGCTACTATCTTGCTGATAGTTTGTCGATATTCAAGACACCATCAATGCTTCACACGGTCTGACAACACGATTGGGTCCTGATTACTGCCGAAAGTCTCCAGTAATTGAAGAGACGTGTTGGAGTATATTCACTTACTTTCTACAACAAGCAAGTATATGGGTACTTAGGTTAGATATTCCCACGAACTGCATTGGTGATTCTCAAGAAACCAAGCTTAAGTTCTGGAGTGCAGTTTAGAATCTGCAAAATAATGGGTGGAGGGCACCCTCCGATTGATTCTTGTTCAAAGTTCGAGGAAAGCATATCCAGTTTTTGTTTTTGCTTCGAAATGATTCGGCAACGCATTTGTAAGCATATTCACTCGACTATTAGTTGCACTTCGAATCTTGTTCAGTGTGTGCTTTCATGAATGCATCTTTCAGCCCATAATGAGCCTATTTAGTTGTCGTTTGAGCTATGCATTTCATATTTACATGATCACTCTAAGCAACAATGCAAGCATGTTCGGCATGCGATTCTCCCCTTCGAAATGCAAAATGTTGCTTCAGGATTGGGTTGCATC